TGAAATATAAAAATCGGAAAATCGAAAAATCGAAGAGCTGAAAAGTAGAGAAATTGGAAAACCAGAAAATTTAAACTTGTAAACTTAGAAAACAAACAATAAACGAAAATTGAAAAATCGTGAAAATTGAAAAATCAAAAAATCGAAAAATTGAAAAATCGAAAAATCTAGGATTTAAAAAATTCAAAAATCGATAAATCGAAAAATCGAGAAATAGAACTACCTACAATTTAAAAAATCAAAAAATTAAAATATCGAAATTCGGGATATGGAAAAAACCGAGATCTCGAGTAATCGAAAATTCGAAAAATCCATAATTCGTAATAACAAAAAATTTACAAATTGGGAGTCAAAAAATTGTAGAATCAATAAATTGAAACATCGAAAAATAAAGTAAATAAAGTTTAAAAACTCGAAAAATCAAAATTTCGAAAACCTGAAATATCGAGAATTCGAAACAATCGAAATCCCGATAAATCGAGAAATAGAAAAATTGAAAAATCGAAAAATCCAAAAATTTGGAAACCAAAAAATTGAAAAATGGAAAAATCGAAAAACTGAAAAATAAAAAAAATACTTGAAATCGAGTAATCAGGAAGTCTAATATTTACAAAATCCAAAAATTCAAGAATCGATAAATTGAAATATAAAAATCGAAAAATCGAAGAGCTAAAAAGTAGAGAAATTGGAAAAACAAAAAATTAAAACTTGTAAACTTAAAAACAAACAATAAAAGGAAAATTGAAAAATTGAAAAATCGGGAAAATTGAAAAATCGAAAAATCTAGGATTTAAAAAATTGAAGAATCGATAAATCGAAAAATCGACAGATAGAATGACCTACAATTTCAAAAATCAAAAAATTAAAATATCGAATATCGAGATATCGTATAAACCGAGATGTCGAATAATTGAAAATTCGAAAAATCTACAAATCGTAAAAACAATAAATGTACAAATTCTGAAGCAAAAAAATGGAGAATCTAAAAATTGAAACATCGAAAAATAAAGTAAGTAAAATTTAAAAAATCGAAAAATCAAAATTTCGAAAACCTGAAATTTCGAGAAATCGAAAAAACTGAAATTACGATAAATCGAGAAATAGAAAAATTGAAAAATCGAAAAATCCAAAAATTTGGAAACCAAAAAATTGAAAAATGGAAAAATCTAAAAACTGAAAAATAAAAAAAACTTGAAATCGAGTAATCAGGAAGTCTAATATTTAAAAAATCCAAAAATTCAAGAACCGATAAATTGATAAAATTGAAACAAAAAAATAAAAATCCAAATCTTGAAATATTAAAATCGAAAAATCGAAGAGCTAAAAAGTAGAGAAATTGGAAAACCAAAAAATTGAAACTTGTAAACTTAAAAAACAAACAATAAAACGAAAATTGAAAAATCTGGAAAATTGAAAAATCGAAAAATCTAGGATTTAAAAAATTGAAAAATCGATAAATCGAAAAATCGATAAATAGAATGACCTACAATTTAATAATCAAAAAATTAAAATATCGAAACTCGAGATATGGAAAAAACCGAGATGTCGAGTAATCGAAAATTCGAAAAATCTATAAATCGTAAAAACAATAAATGTACAAATTCTGAGTCAAAAAATTGTAGAATCAAAAATTTGAAACATCGAAAAATAAAGTAAATAAAGTTTAAAAAATCGAAAAATCAAAATTTCGAAAACCTGGAATATCGAGAATTCAAAAAAAATCGAAATCCCGCTAAATCGAGAAATAGAAAAATTGAAAAATCGAAAAATCCAAAAATTTGGAAACCAAAAAATTGAAAAATGGAAAAATCGAAAAACTGAAAAATCAAAAAAACTTGAAATCGAGTAATCAGGAACTGTAATATTTAAAAAATCCAAAAATTCAAGATTCGATAAATTGATAAAATTGAAACAAAAAATTAAAATCCAATTCTTGAAATTTTAAAATCGAAAAATCGAAGAGCTAAAAAGTAGAGAAATTGGAAAACCAAAAAATTAAAACTTGTAAACTTAAAAAACAATAAAACGAAAATTGAAAAATTGAAAAATCGGGAAAATTGAAAAATCAAAAAATTGAAAAATCGATACATCGAAAAATCGACAAATAGAATGACCTACAATTTAAAAAATCAAAAAATTAAGATATCGAATCTCCAGATATGGAAAAAACCGAGACGTCGAATAAGCGAAAATTCGAAAAACCTACAAATCGTAAAAACAAAAAATTTGCAAATTTTGAGTCAAAAAATTGTAGAATCATAAAATTGAAACATCGAAAAATAAAGTAAGTAAAGTTTAAAAAATCGAAAAATCAAAATTTCGAAAACCTGAAATATCGAGAATTCAAAAAAATCGAAATCACGATAAATCGAAAAATAGAAAAATTGAAAAATGGAAAAATTGAAAAACTGAAAAATCAAAAAAAACTTGAAATCGAGTAATCAGGAAGTCTAATATTTAAAAAATCCAAAAATTCAAGAATCGATAAATTGATAAAATTGAAACAAAAAAATAAAAATCCAAATCTTGAAATATTAAAATCGAAAAATCGAAGAACTAAAAAGTAGAGAAATTGGAAAACAAAAAAATTAAAACTTGTAAACTTAAAAAACAAACAATAAAACGAAAATTGAAAAATTGAAAAATCTGGAAAATTGAAAAATCAAAAATCGAAAAATTGAAAATCGAAAAATCTAGGATTTAAAAAATTAAAAAATCGATAAATCGAAAAATCGACAAATAGAACGACCTACAATTTAAAAATTCAAAAAATTAAAATATCGAAAAATCCATAAATCGTAAAAACAAAAAATTTGCAAATTTTGAGTCAAATAATTGTAGAATCAAAAAATTGAAACATTGAAAAATAAAGTAAGTAAAGTTTAAAAAATCGAAAAATTAAAATTTCGAAAACCTGAAATATCCAGAAATCGAAAAAACTTAAGTGACAAAACATCGAAAAATTGTAAAATCAAAAAATGAAAAAAAAAACGTGAATTCGGGAAATCGAGAAATTTAAAATTTAAAAAATCGAAAAATTGAAATATTGAAAAAAATTAAATATCTAAAAATCGTAATATGAAAAATCAGAAATTCGAAAAACTGAAACATTCCAAAACGTCGATAAAACGAAAAATTGCAAAATCGAAAAATCGGGAAAATTAACAATTGAAAAATCGAAACATCAAAATCACAATAAATCGAGAATTCGAAAAATTATAAAACGAAAAATTGAAAAATCGATAAATCTAAAACCGATAAATAAAAAATCTAAAATTTGCAAAATTCGAAGAATAGAAAGGTGAAATATTGAAAAATTGGAAATCGAAAATTGAAAAATCAATATTGAGAAATCGACAAATATGTGGAAAGACCTACAACTTAACTTGAAAAACTAAAACATCAAAAACTCCAGAAATCGAAAAATCGCGATGTCGAGAATTCGACAAATCGAAAAATCGAAAAATTGTATCTCTCTCACACACACTCACTCTCTCTTTTTCTATAGTGCGGCGTTATATGCCGATGTTCAGACTCGCTTCAGACCGGTCTCGATCACCTCGAAATCGACACCGACACCGATACCGACATCCTATTCCAGCGCGCCTCGTATAGTGTTCTATATTACGACAAGAAAGGAGTTAAAACTCCAATAATAACAAGATTTTACAATTTTGCCGATTTAATTCATATTTACCACATATAATTTTTTGGTGATTCCAAAAACATTGTTTATTATTTCAAATCCAATACTCATCGGAATGACTCGGGTTTAAGAATTGAATTATCGGACATTTTTAGATGAAATTTCTAAACTGAACTCGGTAGAAAGTAAAATGATACGTTTCACTTAACTTTTTTTTTTCTATTTAAGCTTTTCTTACCTGTCTTTTCATCTATTTTAAAGTACTTTGTCATGTTTTTAAGTAAATTGGACAATTTTAACGTTGAAGTTTGTTATTGCTTTTTTATAAAATAAAAAAGGTCCATTTTTACCATGATTCTAGCGGATCCATATAGAAACATGATATAGACATACAGATGTTTGGGACCAAAAATCAAAACTTACAAGTTTAAGATTATCGTAAGCATACTAAATCGTTAATCAAAATTTTTTCGTTCTTGGCCTCCTGTAATTTAGAATCCGTGTTGAGTTTTTAGCTTTAGCATCCAGATTTTTAGACAAAAAATCCACATTTTATAATAATATTTTGCAATGTAACTTTGAAATTGCAAAAACCGAATGCTTTGAAATCGTGCAAATATTTTAAGATTATTTGAAATTTGGTAAATCGTTAGTCAAAATTTGTTCGTCATCTTACATTTTTGTAGAATTTCTTAAAATTTATGAGTGTTTTTAGGAAATAAAAACTGAGTATGAATTAATCTAAAGTCCTTTTCTCTGCGTCGAGAGCATAAAATCGACAAAAATTTCAATTTCTTGAAATTGTCAACATCTTCCTCTAGCTGAAGAAATTTTATAATTATATTGGGCAAAGGATATTTCCCTGACATTGGTACTTGTTTAAATCGGCACCAAGTGATAATTTCGGCTACAGAGCACACTTTGCTCAGACAATCCTAGTAAATTTATCACGTTATTATTATTACCAGTTAAGTTCTGATGACACAACAATTCGAGCAGTCTAGCCAAACAGTGAGGATGGTCGCTGATAATATTAGTTGAACCGAGGTCGTACTTCTTACAATAGTACGTACTTAAACCGGGATTGTGAAGTGCATCTACCCCGAAAACAATGATATTAACACAAGTAAGTACTTTATTAAAAAACTTATGACACAAAATCTACAATTTTCTTCCCCATATTACACTAAAAAACAGCAAACCTATAACCAAAATAACGCAACACCATAAACAAAAGCGTTTACTCAACGTACTTAGTTTAAGCAATGCGTCCTTGAAAAAAATTAAGATCTTTATTTATTTATGGCCCGAATTCCACGCAGCAGCATTATTATTAAATTAGCGTTTTCTCCAGGCGCCCATTTACGTCTTCGCTGCCGCTCTCCTCCACCTAGCCACCCCCGAATTCGACTGCCATGAAAACAAAATCATTTCTGGCAATTGCACCACCGAACTAGTATGCATCTACGAAGAAAACTACAAAGGAAGAGAGGGTTATACAAGGTACTGCAGGTGCAAGACGGTAATCAGTGACCTACCCCTCCCTAACAACACCCTCACCTTCATCACGTTCCGAAACGTGTGCTCCCAGTACCAACTCTGGCTGCAGGAGCTGTGGATCAACGACGCCGAACTAGAGTACATCGAGAACGACATCTTGAGCCGGTACGCCAATCTCCAGTACCTCAATCTAGCCGGGAATAACCTCCTACTCAACTTCTCGGAGAAGGCGTGGAAGCTCACGAAACTCGATGTGAGCAACAACCGCCTCAGCGTCATCCAACGCGACGCTTTGAAAAATCTCATATCCCTAAAAATGCTTAACATCTCGTTCAACAATCTGGAGCAAGTGAACTTCTGTTTCAGCCAACTCCAAGAGCTGGAGGAGATTTACTTGAACAACAACCAGCTGACGACGATCTTGAAAGACGAGTTTGACCATTTGGTCAAGCTGAGGGTGTTGAATCTGGCGCACAATCTCCTCACGACGATCGATTCGCACCTCTTCTTGAGAAACCTGCAAGAGCTCTACTTGAACAACAACCAGCTGTTAAGTGTTAACAAGGAGCAGCTCATTCGGCTCCCGAGCTTGAAGATTCTGAAAATTGGGGACAACTTCATCACGGAGCTGGGGAAACGGGACGTCTTTGATAACCTAGAGGAGCTGCACTGCGAGAACAACCAAATCAAGAACATCCACAAGGACGGGATGAACAAGCTAGAGAGTCTCACGGTGCTGAATATTTCGAACAACAAAATCGAAAACTTGGAAGCCAACACGTTTTCTCCATCGAATAAGTTGCAAGTGGTTGATATTAGCTCGAACGAGCTCACGGTGGTGGACCCCAACAACTTCCAAAACTTCAAGAACGTGTTGATTTTGAATTTCCACAACAACTCGCTTACGGAGAAGGTTATCAACTGCGATAATGTAGGGAATTTGAAGAACGTCAACGTGTTGAATCTCTCGTTCAACAAGATTTCGGAAATCTATCATTGCACGTTTGCGAAGTTGGAGAAATTGTCGAAGTTGTCGCTTCTGGCGAATCGGTTGACGAAAATCCCTCCATCGGCGTTCAAGGCTTTGACCGAGCTCCAGGAGCTCAACCTGGCGGAAAACCAGATCACAGACATTCCAGAGGGAACTTTCAACAATTTGAAAGAACTGAGGAACTTGAATATATCGCACAACAATCTGACGACGTTTGATTTGGAGAAGTTGAACAACAATCCCAAGATCACGAATTTTGACATCAACCATAACCAACTGAGGGATTTGGATTTGGCGCTTTTGAAAAATAAGTTGCCTGGGTTGAAGACGTTCGACTTCGACGTTAGTTTGATTAAGTGTGATAAATATGCCAACATTTTGGAACACTTTGAAGAGAATAGTGTGGATTTTGCGAGTTGTAGAAACATAATGGAATGCTGTGTGAGCAGTAGTGTTAACGGAACGCTGATAGGTATTATAGTAGCGTCCGTAATTGTTTGTTTGCTTGCCGTAATTGGACTATTTGCCATTATTTGTAAGTGTTATAAACCTGATAGCACTAAGGTCAGCGTACATTTGGTTCCGGTTCCTCAAAAAGCCACTGACAACTTATAATTACAAATGTGTCTATGATTATGTGCACTTGTATTTATTTTGTACTTTCCACTTTTAAAATTCGCACTTTCGTTTATCACGTTACTGGAAGTGCCAAAAATTCGGTTATAGACGAAAATAATGCAATTTAGGACGATCAAATATTGTCTTTTAATTTTTTATTTTCGACGACTCGTTGAGTGATACAACTGAAGAGTGATTCGAACGGAAATTGATATCAGTAGAAGACGTGACCGCAGAGATAAACACTTCTCGAGTGGTATGACGAAAAGACGACAAATGGGAAAAAGAAAAGAATATACATCTTATTAAAAATGTGAGTATAAAATATGGATAAGATCGAAAAAATACGGTCGGGTCGAAGATTATGAGGAACTTGAGGCTCTAAGAACTCAGGTTAAGCATACTTCTGTTACTCAATTTTTGTGTGAAAATTATGATCGTCAAATTCAGACAGACGTTGTCTATATGGACATGTCAAAGATCGAGTAAATCATCAGATTTTGATTTAAAAATTGGACTAAAGAGTTTAGACAGTACTTCCCTCGCTGTCGGAAACGTGACGACTGCATGTCTATTGTTTTTTTTTTTCGCAGTAGATTTCATTATTTTTTTTGAGTCACCCGGTATATGCAAATTCAAAAAATATGAATGGAATGATAAATTACAAGTACAGACTCATCATATTTTGTATATTCTAGATAGGATTTATTCGGCAAACTTTTGAGCTGACGTCATCAGTTTTTTGTAGAAGATAACCAAATATATTTTGACTAAAAATTTATTATGCTCTCTATTAAAACGTAAAAGCAGAGAGTCGGCCGACGGACTCGATTACAATACTTCCTTTGCTTACGCTCGGGAAGTAAAAACAATAAAAACGGCTATAAAAAACCGATAGCAAAAACACAGAAAAACGACCAAAGAAAGGAACAAAACAAACGACCAAAAAGGGCGAGAAAAAAAGACAAAAAAAAACGCTTCCAAAGAAACGAACAAAAAAGCGACAATCCTTAAGCAAATGCGAAGACCGACAAAAACGGACAACAAAGGCACAAGAAAAGTAGCCAAAAAGCGAGCAAAAAATACAACAAAAAACGGTAACAAGAAATCGGAAAAAATAGGAACACTGAATAATTAAAAAAATGCATAATGAAGCATCTAAAAATTTAAGAATTTTGGAAATAGAAATAGAAAAATTGAAAAACTTGGAATTTAAAAATTCGGAAAGGAAAAACCGCAAGATTGCAAACCAGCAAAAAATAAAATAACTAAAAATTAAAAAATTGTTCAAAAATCGGAAAAAAACGAACTAAAATCGAAAAATTATAACAATGAAACATCGAACAGTTTAAGACTTTGAAAAATTGAAGAATGGAAAATCGAAAATTTGAGGAACTGAAAAATTAAATAATCGAAAAATTGAAAAGTTGAGACACCGAGAAAATTAATAGTCAAAAATGAAAAACTTAAAAATTTTAAAACTGCAAGATTGAAAAAGTAAAAAATTTAACAATCTAACACATCTCTAAAAAATCGTAAGATTGAAGAAACGAAAAATTGAAACATCAAAACTTAAAAATCAAACTACTAAAAATCGGAATACTAAACATAAAAATTAATTTATTTTGTTTAGTTTGATTTATGTAATGAACACTTTCGTAAATAAATGGTTGTTATTTAAAAATCTAAAAATTTAAATCGATAAACCGCAAAATTAAAAATCGAAGAACTGAAAGTTGAAAAATTCTAAAATTCCAAACCACGAAAAAATAAAAAATACTTCAAAAATCGGAAAAAATAGGAACATTGAAAAATAAAACTGCAAAACTTAGAAATTAAAAAATCCGAAAGGAAAATCAGAAAGAAAAAACCCGAAGATTGCAAACCACCAAACAAATAAAATCACTAATCACTAATCACTGATCACTGATCACTGATCGTGATTTCGTGATTTCGTGATTTCGTGATTTCGTGATTCGTGATTAGTGATTCGTGATTAGTGATTAGTGATTAGTGATTTGTGATTAGTGATTAGTGATTTGTCATTTGTGATTAGTGATTAGTGAGTAGTGATTCGTGATTCGTGATTAGTGATTAGTGATTAGTGATTAGTGATTCGTGATTAGTGATTAGTGATTTGCGATTCGTGATTAATGATTGGTGAGTCGTGATTAATGATTAGTGATTAGTGATTAGTGATTAGTGATTCGTGATTAGTGATTAGTGATTAGTGATTGATGATTGATGATTAGTGATTAGTGATTAGTGACTAGTGATTAGTGATTCGTGATTCGTGAGTCGTGATTAGTGATTAGTGATTAGTGATTCGTGATTCGTGATTAGTGATTCGTGATTCGTGATTCGTGATTCGTGATTAGTGATTCGTGAGTCGCACCTGTGGGATAGATATCAGTTTGTGCAATATCGGGGTTATCAGTCGTCCTTCTTTAAACAGACATCGGGACTCCCACAAGGTTCGGTGTTGGGTCCACTTTTCCTTGCAATATACATAGATGATTTTCTGACAAACAAATTGAATGTTCAAACAACTGCCATCATTAACTAAGAGAAGGAAATATTTTTCTACTAAATATTTGTCCCAAATTCTGAATTATGAAGTCGACTGTCCATATTTGCTATCAAAAATATCCCTACGGATTCCATCTTTCGATCATCGGTCGCATATCTTATTCCATCTAGAGACAGCTAGAACAAACGATAACTTAAGATAAAACTGATTTTGGCAGATGACATACCCTCTAAAAAAAAGAGAGGGTGGGTGGGCGGGGCTAGTACCTGCTAAGATAAAACTGATTTTCGCAAATTACATACCCTTTAAGAAAACAGAGGGTGGGTGGGCGAGGTTAGTACTTGCTAAGAAAGACTGATCTTGGCAAATGAGATTCCTCTAAGAAAATAGAGGGCGGGTGGGCGAGTGGGCGAGATTTAGTACCTGCTGAGATAAAAAAACTGATTTTCGCAAATTAAATACCCTCTAAGATAATGAAGGGTATAGGATATATCATTTGGCAAAATCAGTCTTATCTTAGCAAGTACTAGCCCCGCCCACCCACTCTTTATTTTCTTCGAAGGTATGCGATTTGCCAATGTCAGTTTTAACTTACCAAGCACTAGCCCCACCCACCCACCCTCTCTTTTCTTAGAAGGTACGTCATTTGCCAAAATCAGTCTTGTTTTGGCAAGGACTAGCCCCACACGCCCGCCCTTTATTTTATTAGAGGGCTAGTACCTGCTAAGATAAGACTGAGGAAATAGAGGGCGGGTGGGCGGGGTTAGCACTTGCTAAGATAAGACTGATCTTGGCTAATGACATATCTTCTAAGAAAAAAGAGGGTGGAAGGGCGAGGTTAGTAACTGCTAAAATAAGACCGATTTTGGCAAGACATACCCTCTAAGAAAAGAGAGGGTGAGTGGGCGAGGCTAGTACCTGCTCAGATAAGACTGATGTTCGCAAATAACATACCCTCTAAGAAAATGAAGGGTAGAGGGTATATGATTTGGCAAAATCAGTCTTATCTTAGCAAGCATTGGCCCCACCCACCCACCCTTTATTTTCTTTGAAGGTATGCTAATTGGCACTATCAGTTTTATATTAGCAAGTACTAGCCCCGCCCACCCACCCTCTCTCTTCTTAGGGAGTAAGTCATTTGCCAAAATTAGTGTTGTTTTGGCAAGGACTAACCCCATCCGCCCGCCCCTTTTTTTCTTAGTGGGTATGTTACTTGCCAATATGAGCCTTATCTTGGCAAGTATAGCTCCGCCCACCCACCCTGTACCTGGTAAGATAAGACTGATTTTGACTAATGAGATCCCTCTGAAGAAATAGAGGGCGGGTGGGCGGGGTTAGCATCTGGTAAGATAAGACTGATTTTGGCAAATGACATACTCTCTAAAAAAAGAGAGGGTGGGTGGGCGGGTCTAGTACCTGTTAAGATAAGACTGATTTTCGCAAATGACATACCCTGTAAGAAAAGAAAGGGTGGGTGGGCGGGGTTAGTACCTGCTAAGAAAGACTGATTTTGACAAATGAGATCCCTCTAAGAAAAAAGAGGGTGGCTGGGACTAGTACCTGCTAAGATAAGACTTATAAATCTCATGCTCGGACGTTCTGAAGAAAGATGTTCGAGACTTGACTTTTATTTATATAAATCAATGAAATCTTGTGAAAACTTTAAAGGATTACTTATCTGTATTTATTTTAATGTAAAGAGGTTATCAGTAATAAAAATTCGCAAAATTATTTTTTTTATTTTTTAAGAAGAATGATTTGTGGAACGTAGTTGAGGATGAGTCACAAGCGCGCGGTGCTCGAGATGTCATTAATTGTTATTAGAGTTAAAAAAAATGGTCAAAGTGTTCTGTTTTTAAGGTGTAACACACAATTTAGTTTTTTTAATCGAACACCCTATATATTTTTCTATATTTTCATTAACGTTTTCCTCTAGCTGGAAAACTTGTATCAATTATTTTCCGCAAATGAAATTTCCCCATGAGCGGTACTTGTTTAAATCGGCACCAAGTGATAATTCCGGGTACAGAGCACAGTTTGCTTCAGACAATTCTAGTAAACTTATCGGGTTATTATAATTACCAGTTAAGTTCCGATGACACAACAGTTTGCGCAGTCTAGCGAAACCGCGAGGATGGGCGCTGATAATATTAGTTGAACCCAAGTCGTCCTACTTACAATAAGTACGTACTGAAACCGGGATAGTGCAGTGTACCTACACTGAAAACAATGATACTAAGACAAGTAAGTACTTTTTAAAAATTACCTGACACTCATTTGATATTCGTGTAACCTTGTCAAAAACTACGATTTTGTTCCCGATATCACACCAAAAACCGCAAACCCATAACCAAAATTATCATAAACAAACGCGATTAATCAACGTAAGCAATGCGTCCTTGAAGAAAATTAAGATCTCGATTTATTTATAGACGGAATTCCCAGCAACAGCGTTCTTATTAAGTCAGCGTTTTTTCTAGGCGCCGATCTGCATCTTCGTTTTCGCCCTTCTACACCTAGCCGCCCCCGAATTCGACTGCCAAGAAAACAAAATCATTTCTGGCAGTTGCACCACCGAACTAGCATGCATCTACGAAGAAAACCACCAAGAAAGAGAGGGTTATTCAAGGTACTGCAGGTGCAAGACGGTGATCAGCGACCTGCCCCTCCCCGACAACACCCTCACGTACAACATGTTCCGAAACGTGTGCTCCCAGTACGAGTCACGGCTGCAGCAGCTGTGGATCAACGACGCCGAGCTGGAGTACATCGATAACGACATCTTGGCCCGGTACCCCAACCTCAAGTACCTCAATCTAGCCGGGAATAACCTCCTGCTCAACTTCTCGGAGAAGGCGTGGGCGCTCACGGAGCTCGACGTGAGCAACAACCGCCTCAACGTCATCCACCCCGACGCTTTGAAGAATCTCAAATCCCTAAAGATGGTCAACATCTCGTTCAACAGGCTGGACCAAGTGAAATTCTGTTTCAGCCAACTCCGAGAGCTGGAGGAGATTTACTTGAACAACAACCAGTTGACGACGATCTCGAAGGACGAGTTTGACCATTTGGTTAAGCTGAGGGTGTTGAATTTGGCGCACAATCTCCTCACGACGATCGATTCGCACCTCTTCTTGAGAAACCTGCAAGAGCTCTACTTGAACAGCAACCAGCTGTTAAGTCTCAACAAGCAACAGCTCACTCGACTCCCGAACTTGAAGATTCTGAAAATTGGGGACAACTTGATTTCGGAGCTGGGGAGTCGGTACGTTTTTGATAATCTAGAGGAGCTGCACTGCGAGAACAACCGAATCAAAAACATCGACAAGGACGCGATGAACAAGCTAGGGGGTCTCAAGGTGCTGAATATCTCGAACAACAACGTGGAAAATTTGGAAGCTAACACGTTTTCTTCGGCGAATAAGTTGCAAGTGGTTGATATTAGCTCGAACAAGCTCACGGTGGTGGACCCCAACAACTTCCAGAACTTCAAGAACGTGTCGATTTTGAATTTCCACAACAACTCGCTGACGGAGAAGGTTATCAACTGCGATAATGTACAGAATTTGAAGGGAGTCAACGTGTTGTATCTCTCGTTCAACAAGATTTCGGAAATCTATAATTGCACGTTTGCGAAGTTGGAGAACTTGACGAAGTTGTCGCTTCTGGCGAATCAGTTGGAGAAAATCCCTCCGTCGGCGTTTAACGCTTTGACCAAGCTCCAGGAGCTCAACCTGGCGGAAAACCAGATCACCGATATTCCAGAGGGAACTTTCAACAATTTGAAAGAACTGAGGAATTTGAATATATCGCACAATAACCTGACGGCGTTTGATTTAGATAAGTTGAACAACAACGCCAAGATCACGAATTTTGACATCAAACATAACCAACTGAGGGATTTGGATTTGCCGCTTTTGAAAAATAAGTTGCCTGCGTTGAAGACGGTGGACTTCGATGTTAGTTTGATTAAGTGTGATAAATATGCCAATGTTCTGGATTATTTTGAAGAGAATAGTGTGGATTTTGGGAGTTGTAGAAACAGAATGGAATGCTGTGTGAGCAGTAGTGTTAACGGAACGCTGATAGGGATTATAGTAGCGTCCGTAATTGTTTGTTTGCTTGCCGTAATTGGACTATTTGCCATTATTTGTAAGTATTGTAAACCTGATAGCAATAAGTACAGCATACATTTGGTTCCGGTTCCCCAAAAAGCCCCTGATGACTTATAATTATAACATTGTAACGGATGCCACTATAAATGTGTTTATGATTAAGTGCATTTGTGTTTACATTATTCAGTAAATGAGGATACAAGGTTACGAGAGTGATAAAATTCGCATCCGGGTTTTTCTAATATAAATATGTTATCCAGTTTCGTTTATCACGTTACTGGCAATCTGAAAATTCGGTTTTAGACCAAAATATAACAATTTCGAATGATCAGACATTGTACTTTAATTTTTTATTTTACATGACACGTGGGGTAATATATGTAGATACAACAGAGGAGTAACCCAGAAGGAAATTAATTTTAGTCAGATAAGAATACTCCAGAGTTCCAGAGCTCTAAAAGAATCTCTAAAAAAATATATAGTGACACAAATTCCCAAACCCCCTTGAATCAGGTGACTCTACCCCTAGCCAGTGAGAAGCGCAGAGGACCGCGATTCATAGGCCCGGACGTTCTCAAGAGAGCTATTCAAGATATGACTTGTATTTATACAAATAAATAAATCTTTCTTGTGAAAACCCTACAGTATACTCATCTATATTTATTTTAATGTATAGAGGTTATCACAGATCAAAATTCGCAAAATCATATTTTTTTATTTTTTAAGCATTTGTACCTACTAAGATAAGACCAGATAGTTACAATGAGACTATTTTTATTATTAAAGAAATTGTTAGGTGGTATTTCTTTCGGCTCCTTTAAAAAATTTGTCTAAAGAGTTTAGACAGTACTTCCCTCGCTGTCGGAAACTTGACGACTGCATGCCTATTGTGTTTTTTTTCTCATTACATTTTTGTAGTGGGAATTTAAAAAAAAATTGCGATGACGTCATCAACATTTTTGCAAGGACACGTATATCAGTTGGGATAGATGTAATGTAATACTAAGAATAAAATTATTATATTCTCAAATTTTCGGGAAAATGAATTGGGTCGTTTTGAATATTGATTTGTAATAATCAATAAAATAACGAAACAATTTACTCACGTATACGTATCAGAGGCAACTGAAAATCGTGTATGTATAAACATTCTTAATTTAAGATGACAGGCGTAACAGCATACGTGAGAGTCAAACAGAGAAACTGTAAACAAAACGACCATCGGTTTTATTGCTTCGACTCCCGCTTATTATATAAAACATTGGGTTTTATTTTAATTCTTGATGGTGAAATTCACAATTGGTTGATTATAAACATGTCTATTTCGCATTCGCGGAACCAAGTGACCGCATAAAACAAATGCAGGTCTGTAATGTTAAAGTCGATGTAAATAAGCGTGCTACCCTTATGTTTCAACCGAGTTTTTCCTTTAACAAATTTTGTGTCTACCAAATTGGGTTGGTTGGGGTGTAATACTAATAATAAGTGTTGCCTTTAATTTAATCAATAAAATAAATTGACTTCATTAATTTTTTTGAACCACCTCTTAAGAAAATCTAAAAAATTTGAATGGAATGATAAATCACAAGTACAAACTCATCATATTTTTTGCATTTTAGATAGGATTTATTCAGCAAAATTTAAGGGTCACGTCATCAATTTTTTTAGGAGGGATGAACAAATACATTTTGAACAAAAGTTTACCATGCTTATAATAACTTTAAAATATTCCCAAGATTTCAAAGCATTCGGTTTTGTAATTCCTGATTAAATCGATTAAATAAATTCACGCCTTCATTAATTTTTTTGAGTCACCCTGCATATGCAAATCCAAAAATATGATTGGAATGATAAATCACAAGTACAGACTCATCATATTTTGTACATTTTAGATACGATTTATTCGGCAAACTTTTGAGCTGACGTCATCAGTTTTTTGTAGAAGATAACCAAATATATTTTGACTAAAAATTTATTATGCTCTTTATAACCTTAAAACATCTGCAAGATTTCAAAGCATTCGGTTTTGTAGTTCCTGATTAAATCAATAAAATAAATTTACGCATTCATTAATTTTTTTTGAGTCACCCTGTATATGCAAATCGAAAAAATTTGAATGGAATGATAAATCACAAGAAGAGACTCACCATATTTTGTACATTTTAGATAGGATTTATTCAGCAAAATTTTGTGGTGACGTCATAAATTTTTTAGGGGGGACGACCAAATACATTTTGATCAAAAATTTACCATGCTTATGATAATTTTAAAATATCTTCAAGATTTCGAAGCATTCGGTTTTGTAGTTCCTGAGTAAATCAGTAAAATAAATTTACGCTTTCATTTATTTTCTTGAATCACCCTGTATATGCAGATCCAAAAAATATGAATGGAGTGATAGATCACAAGTACAGACTGATCATATTTTGTACATTTTAGATATGATTTATTCGGCAAATTTTCGAGCTGACGTCATCAAGTTTTTGGAGGGGATAAGCAAATATATTTTGACTAAACATTTATTATGCTCTTTATAACCTTAAAACATCTGCAAGATGTCAGAGCATTCCGTTTTGTAGTTCCTGATTAAATCAATAAAATATATTTACGCATTCATTAATTTTTTTGAGTCACTCTGTATATGCAAATCCAAAAAATATGAATGGAGTGATAAATGACAAGTACAGGCTCATCATATTTTGTACATTTTAGATATGATTTATTCGGCAAACTTTCGAGCTGACGTCATCAAGTTTTTGGAGGGGATAAGCAAATATATTTTGACTAAACATTTATTATGCTCTTTATGACCTTAAAACATCTGCAAGATTTCAGAGCATTCGGTTTTGTAGTTCCTGATTAAATCAATAAAATATATTTACGCATTCATTAATTTTTTTGAGTCACCCTGTATATGCAAATCCAAAAAATATGAATGGAGTGATAGATCACAAATACAGACTCATCATATTTTGTACATTTTAGATATGATTTATTCCACAAACTTTTGAGCTGACGTCATCAAGTTTTTGGAGGGGATAAGCAAATATTTTTTGACTAAAGATTTATGATGCTCTTTATAGCCTTAAAACATCTGCAACATTTCAAAGCATTCTGGTTAGCAGATTAAAAATTAAATTTCAGAATGTTGTTTTATAATTTTGATTTTTTTTTCAAAAATCCGGACGTTTCGGGTGAAAAGTCGATTCAGAGTTGTAAACTACATGTGTAGGACTATGTTATTTTATACAATTGAAAACCCATTTACTATGTACAATTTTGAAGTGACGTCATCGCATTAGTGGTGGGGATGATTAGACAAATTTTGGTTAGCGTTTTACCATCTACATGATATTCTTAATATAAGTACAAAATTTCACAACAATCGGTCGAGTACTTTCGGAGATTATCTGTCTAATAAAAATCCGGGACGGCAGACGGACAGACGGACGGACAGACGGACGGACAGACGGACGGACAGACGGACAGACGGACAGACAGACGGAAATGGGAGACCTATTTCTTCGTCTTCTAGGGGTCATGAAAGATCGAGAAAACGTAAAAGTAGAGAGTCGGCCGACGGACTCGATTACAATACTTCCTTTGCTTACGCTCGGGAAGTAAAAAAATAACGATTAGCACTTTTGACTTTTTTTTAACAGGCTACGTTCTGTTAGTTCCCATTGTCACTCTATGGAAGAACATGTAATTGGCTCCAGGAACTCAACCTGGCGGAAAGCCAGATCACAGACATTCCAGAGGGGACTTTCAACAGTCTGAAAGAACTGAGGTTGTTGAATATATCGCACATCAACCTGACGATGTTTGAGTCGATTATGTTGAACAATTCCAAGATCACGGATTTTGACTAACTGAAAACTTTTGAAATACTTTGAAAAGAATAGGGTGGCTGTGTGTGTTTGCTTGCTGTAATTGGACTTTTTGCCATTATTTATAAATATTGTAAACTCGATAGTAGCAAGTACACAATACCTTTGGTTCCGGTTGTCCAAAAAGCCCTTGACAACATAACTATAAGACTGTAACGGATGCCAATAATAATATATCTTAATGTTTTATGATTATGTCCATTATATTGTTCTTTCCTCGAAAAAAGTGCGTTACTATCAAAAAATGTAGATACAAGGTTATCGGTTGACACGTCACGCAAGTGATAAAATTCGCACCCGGGTTTTTGGAATATAAATAGCAGGATTATCACTATCAGTGTTATGCACTTTCGTTTATCACATTACTGGAACCGCGAAAATTTAGTTTTGGACGAAAATAGCACGATTTAGAAGGATCAAATTTTTCATGGACTAAGTAGATAAAACAGAAAAGTGCTCCAAAGATAAATGACGAAAAGATGGTCACTGGAAAAAATTGGTCTAAAGAGTTTAGACACTATGCCTATTATGTTTTTTTTTTCTCATTACATTTTTGTAGCGGAGCATTTTAAAAAATTATGAGAAAACTAACGTTAACTGAACGTCAGTTGATGATTTGAAAATCCATATCCACGACATAATAATAGTAACATTTTTAATAATTTTCCAGTGTCGGTTTTTTCTACAAGAATTGCTTGCCATGTGAAACATCTTCAGTGACGGTATTGCTCAGAGAAAACTATATGTATTAACTTAAAAAAAAACAATAAAAAAAAGATAAGCCCCACCCCGATCTCAGGACCGAAAACGGGGAGGTACGACTTCAGTTTTAATTTATCAAGTTCCGTGATTCGTTTACTCGACAATGTTTAAATTTTGGAAAAAATTTCGAAACGGTTGAAGTTGATCGGTCAAAGCTATACATTTTCACGATATAATTAAATAAAATTTAGACATACCTAATTAATATTATTTATAGTGTTCAAATGTGGTAAGTAACTATTAATATACGATAATCAAACCGAAAACCGTTTTACTAAAAACACGATGGTATTAAAAACAAAGCAATTTGTTTAAACATTGTTAAGTTAATCCTGAAAATGTCTAATTTTCCGGCCAAAATATGAAAAATGATTTTTGCAATCTCATCGTGACGTGCGATGACATCACTGTCACGGGAGCTACCTGTCCAAAGGTCACCATTGTGTTCAGTTTTAATTTCTGTTTGATGGCGACAAGATCGTCGCGTGCTTTTGGCGTAAAAGTAGAGCAATTTCGCGAATTTCTAATTTATTATTAATAAATATTAGGGAAAATGTGTTGTGTTATTGTTGTGAACACGGAAGAAAATGGATATCTTTCCGAAAAGGACCGAAAACAGGGTAAGTACGACTCCAGTTTTAATTTATCAGGTTCCGTGATTCGTTTCCTCGACAAAGTT